ATCAATAGTGGATTAATTATCAAAATTAAAGTACCTAAACAAGCTTGACTAGATCTAGTAGCCATAGTACCACAAAACAATGAATCCTGTCCTGAGGCCAGCCTGGCCAAGACCTCACACCCAAATGTCCCTTTTTGTTTTCGAGCTTTCTCGTTTTTTCAACCTCGGAAAATTGGAGGAAATTAGGAAAAGTTGTTCAAAATTTCATTTTAATAATTTTGTAATTCGTATTATTAGAATACAAAATGTCTGATGAAACTGATGATGAACTCTTTGAGATAACAGATTTTACTAATGCCTCCCCGTGGGAAAGGTAAGTATCAGCTCCTTTATATAATTTATCAAACATTCTCTAGTTTTGTCTCCACCATTGAAGACATATTGCAACAGTGGGGCCTCACTGCATCCACTTATTCAGTAAGACATTAACTGACAGTCTCTCAGTCACTGTATCTCTTCTTAAAGGCAGATTCTGGTTATTGGCCACAGCATAGGAAGTCAGAGAAGCTCTCTTATGTTGGACATAATTTCATTGTTAGCCTCCACGTGTCTGGTGAGAAGAAATGACCGATACCCAAACAATGAGGTGATTGGTGGTAGTGGACTAGTGGGTGTGGTTTATAATGGGTGTGGTTTGCTATAGATCAGGCCTGCAGGATTGGCCTGATGCTATGGTACATATGATGGATTCATCAAGTGATTTCCCTCCAAGAGCTCATCATCATATCTCTAGATGGTAATAATTATCGTATAGTCGTATACATGTACATGTACCGGTACTTGTAATTATTATTTCTAATAACTTCAGGATGGTGACATTTGGTGTAAAACTCTTATATTATTTTCTAATAATAATTTTTTGACTATTTACACCCACCATTTAAATGTTGTACATGTCTTTATTTGTGTCCGTTTACATGTACATGTACTTTTAAGAAAATTTGAGCTAATTCCAATCAAAATTGGATTTTTATGGGATTTAAAGTCAGGCCAAAATCCCTATACTATAGTGCAGGGTCCTTCGCCAAATTTTCCAAAAAATTGCTATGAAAGAATTGTTTATTTTTATAATTTTTTCTGATACAATGTACGTATACATGTTCTGTTTTATAGAAAATTTGAGCTGATTTCAATTAAATTTTGATTTTTTATGAATTTTTAAAGCTGCTCCAAACGCCATGTACTCTATATGTCAGCTCATGAAGCTGATGCTGTTTAGCTCACTTAGCATACTTTGTGGGAAACCCTGGCCTATATTGTACAAGTTTTGCATGTAGTTCATAATTATTATTCAAAATACAATCAATCATTAGGTATGGTGTTGATCAGTTTGTATCAATATCTCCTGATGAGAAGAGTTATGCAATATCAAGTGAAGCTCAGTCCAAACTATTACTCAGTTCAATATCTCTGGCTATAGCTAACACTGGATGGTCTGTTATAATAATTAATCTTATAATTTTAATTTTAATTTCTCTCCATTTTATCTCTTCTCTTCAATACTTTTCTGTTCTCTTCTCATTCTCTTGTCCTCTATTCCTTCCTTCAATACATTGCCTATATTCATTCAGATACAAAAGAATTGGCGTCACATGTTTAGCGGACAGTGTGAGAGGTGTGGTCTCCGTACGTCTTTTAAAATGATACATTTGAGACATATTCCACCTCACTTTAGTCACCTCTCAGGACTACTGAACTTATTCCGATCAAAACTGGTACATTTCTATCTCCCTTCTATTAACTATTATTTGTAATTAACAATGAATATGTACCGTATACTGGGAAATTTTTGAGTAGCCAAATTTTCACGGATTTCGCGTTTTCTTGCTCCGTCGCGAAAATAAAAATCGTGAAATTTTGAATTTACATTGCCACGTGGTGGAGTTTACAAGATATTCGCAAAAATATTATTTTGTGAAATCTTACAAATGCAAAATTCGCGAAAATTTAGCGATGCGAAAATATCCCAGTATACGGTACAATATGTAATGGTTTTATTAATAGAATGGTATGAATGTTAATCCTCCTGATATTAATATTGCTGCTAGACTAACATATTGTCTAAGACACTGGAATGTGGAGGATTGGCCAGTGGGTCCACTCTGTTAGTACCTCATTCATTATAATCATTAATTAATAGTATTATTAATTCCAGCGTCTGGTGATGGGAGTGATTGTTTCCTTAGTCTGCCAGTAGGAGCAAGTTCTGATCCTATACAGTAAATATTAATAATTGATATCCTTCTCTACATCTCTCCCTCTCTCTCTCTCTCTCTCCAAGGGAGATTCATCTTTGTGCTGTTTGGCCTCTACTAACTGAATTAACAGTCACTGACAATGAAACTAATTCGTAAGTTGATGTGTAGTGTTGTTTACTTAATACAATGCTGTTATTTTATATTAAAGAGGGTTTGATCCATTCAATGCACCTAAACGGAGCATCAGGACACAGTTACTTGATAATCCAGGATTATTACTGAGTAAGCATTGACATACTGATTTTAATTATATAATAAAAATATCCTTTAGATGAGAGGTTGTGCTCATTTTTAAAGAATTGCTACAGATCAGATACATTCACTAACTTATTAGGCAACAAATTACTTCAAGAAGACATATACAATCCTGGTAG